TGGTGGCTGTGGATCAGGCGGCTCCAGCACCGGACTCTGGCGACCCCAACGACCCATTTAGATGTGTTATTTAGTCTATGTTATTTGGTTTTGATGTTACAGTTTGCCTGCTGTAAATAAAAAATAAAAAACAAAATGATTGAATCTATTAACATATATATATTTTAAAGCACGCTCGCTTACACATGCACACACACACGGACAGTTATTGTATAATGAATATTTGCTTAAAACTTGGTTACTTTAGGCCTTAGCACATGAGCGAATTTCGTGTTTTTCAATTTGTCTAGCAATTAACACCTATCCTCTTCCCTTGCCTCACTCTTTCTCTCTGTACTCTGTCTATTCCCTACTCTTTCCCTCTCCCTCACTCACACACATCAGTTTTCTCTTTCTGACTACTTGCACTCATCAGTTAAATGTCGCACCGGCTAGATTTATATTTTTCTTACCAGATTTTTGTGCACAAATTAATTGTGCAAATGAACATGTCGTTTGTTTACATTAGACATTACGCTTACGTATATATATTTACTATTGCTGTGCAAATTTAAAAAACATAAAAAACACCTACTATATCAAAACTTTGTACGTTTTAGAGGTGTGTCTGGCGTCTATTTAGCGTTAAAGGTCTATATTTTTTTATTGATAAGACGTTCTTAACTTAAGAGAGCTGAATACTAATTTCCCTTAATTTGTTAAATAAAACATAAATTAATAATATATGTATATTCCATAAAACCATGTAAAGTGCTTACATTTCAATTAACAATTACATATTTATCACACTTTTATTAGGTGAAATTTGTCAGTGGAAAATTTATTGTGTGCCAGCAAATATCAAATTTGTATTAAAGTGCAAGTTTTTTAAATAAATAAAAACGCAAATAGAAATATTCAGATATATTGAGTCGCATTTACACACAGCTAACACATTATAGTATACGTGACCTAAGCATATGTTACGGTACAAATGCAAAAAGATACATATGTATGCACATACAGTTCCCTTCATAAAAATAGAAATACGTCGTCTTCCCCATGTAAAAATCTGGTTATTCATATTTAATCGATTACATCCTTGTATTTTTCAAGAATTGTTATGTGAATGAAAAAAAGCAAGAAATAATTGCTGTTATTTTTTCATTTACTTCATGTGCTTTGTGCTGTTCATTTAAATACAAGCATTTAGGCATACATATATGCATATATTAACTCCTTATACGATAATATACATTTAATGTATTTCTACTCAAAATTATATTGATTTTCATTAAGTTATAAACTTTCATAAATGTAAGTAAATATTACGCCTTGCATATGTTAATGTAGTCCTATTTTAACGCAGACAGCTGTAAATATGCAACAAGTTGTTCTGAGGCATGCGCCTAAGATGAGCACTAACAAAACAAAGTGCAGAATTGAAAAAAAAAAAAAAAAACAAACAAAACAAAAACAACAGCAACAACATGTTATTCTAATCCAATTAATGGGTCAAATGACTTGGTGGGAAACGTGAGTAAGCCAGTGGCCGAAGCATTAAATGAAACTGTGGCAAATTGCTTTTTTTAGAGTGCCCTAGGAAAACGTCGACATTAGGAAAACTGAAATGGGGAAATGTCATTGAAGTTTTAAATTAAACATGCACATAATAGCAAGACAAAACAAAGCGAAATTAAATTTCCGAAATAAAAATACAAACGCATTTGTTTGTTTTTGTGTTTGGCTTAGTCACACATCCAACGATACAAAATAAACAGCGGCCAATGTTTAAGAAACGGCAAATTATGCTGTCATTGTTTTCTATTTTTACTCGCCTGCCTCTTCTTGTTTCTGCTTTGCGCCTTTACACTTGCACAGTTGCATAAAGATGTTACTGTGTTTGTGCTTTGCTTTATTTTCTGTCTGTCTCGCTGCTTTAACGTTCGTACAGTTGCATGGTTTTATTAGTAGTTTTGTAACATGTTCTATTTGTGAGAAATTTCTATAGTATTTTTAATTGAAAATTCCCATTCAAATAACATAATTTACGAACAAATTCTTATATATATTGTTGATGTTAAATACATGCATATGTATGTAAGCCTGATATAATGATATACAAATTTAGTTAGGGCATTTCAAAATTCGATATAATCTTTCTTTTTTTCATTTTCAAATGTGGTGAACTGCAAAAAACAAGAGATAGCAATAGCAGAACAAACGCAACGGAAGAAAATTGGGAAGAACAAATTATTAGAAACGAAAATATTTTGTTTTGTTTTATTTTAGCATATGTAGGGATGTACATATTTACATATATGAATATACATATGTATGTACGCATGTACATATTTTTATTCTGCAAACATTGAAGGTAGTTTGCTCCTTCCCCTGGGTCTTGTTTATTTTTAAAAGAATTTGAAGGAAATACTAAAAATTCGGTAGCACACACACACACACACGCAGAGCAACTACAAGCGGGTCTCTAAAAATAAGTTGGACGACAATTTGAAAGTCCAGCCGCACGTGCAACACGAGACCAGCACACCTGCTTCGCTCTGGCCAGCTCTATTTTCGGCAGCTACCTAAAAACAAATTAACTGAATTCCAATTTTAAGCTACTTTCATTTTTAGAGATGAGTTTGGTCTGAGTTATATTTAAACGCTTTCATCAGGATGCGTGACACATTTCTCTATTGACAAGCACGGTGGCTTCATTCATTACTAGAGATAAAGGTGAGATATATTGACGGTGGCAGTTCCGTATCTATTCATAGATAATAAATAGATATCGATCTGGCAATATTGTTATTTTGTTTTTGTTTTGTGGCTTTATCATGCAGTTCGTCTAATTAATGCACTAAATGCCGCAACTAATTAAACATTTGACAAAATTAAACAGACTTTATGCGCGTATTATATGACAGCTCTTAAGCTAAACAAATTACATGAAGTCAGTGGAGAGATAAAAGCGCGTATTTTGTTCAAGCAATTTGAATGAATTTGTTGTAATTGATGCTAACAGTTTTAGCAAATATATAGTTTTTTTCGACATAAAACTTAGTGACAAAATAGCTGCCATTAATTGTTGTTATACAATGAATTTACTTTTGAATTTATATGGCAAATACAACTGTTGTTGTTGTTGTTTTTGGTGAAACAATGTTGTTAACCTCAAAAGCCGCCAAGAACGTCAACAAAACTAAAACTTGGATCGCACGTACAAAGCGACGTAGCGTCTAGCAAGGAGGCAGAGTTGTAGGAAGGGGGGAGGCTTAGGCTCTAAAACGGTATGGTGATACCTTTGTTATGTGCTATATGATATCATTATGTACACACACACACACACACACGAACAGTAACTGCACGTAGGAACTCATTACAGATCCGCATATACCTAGGTACGTATGTATGTATGTATGTAACTTATTATTGGTAGGTTTACCGCAAACTGACGCAACTTGACAAAATTTCGTTTTGTACGACAAAATATATATTGAAACAGGTGTATTGCCAAATATGAAAAAATTAACACCACAAGCCTTGAATTAGTCAAACGTTAATAGCAGAACGTTTGCTGCTTTTAGCTGAAACGGTTAAGTCACATAAAAGTTATTTGCATGTTTTCATATATTTTCTTGTTTATTATTATTTTTTATGGAGGAGTTCGATATGACTTTTATTTAACCGAGAAATGATTCGTTCCAGTAGATTCGATTTTTTCGTCTATTTGGTATTATCAGTTCCTGATCTTTTTGTATTTACAAAATTTTTTTGCTCAATTCTTGCCTTATTTTGTATTTTAATTGCAGTTTTGTTTTGCTATCGCTCCAAATGAAAATAACGGTATAAACAGTTCCGTTAACAACACTGTTTTATTGCTTATGAGCACTTGCACTTTCGATTAAAATTGAAATTGAACTTGAAAAGGAGCGACAAACGCGTCTGGCACTTACATCTGCCGTGCGCTTGACAAAGGCACTGAAACTGATTTAAATTTTTATTCAACTTGAACGTAACGCAAAGCAAATCAAAAACCGCAAAAAGCAAAACAGTCAACGCGGCGTCGTTAAAATTAGCACTGAACTCGCATGCGTCGCCCAACGAATGTGCGGCCTATGATTTCCACATAACACGTACAGTGGGGCGGGGCCTTAATGATGTAGACAAACTTCAGATATGTAGGAAAGTGAATAATGTGCATTGGAGTGAACAGTAAACTGATTCCGAGTTCCCTATTTAATGAAATTAGAAGCTTTTTGAGGAAGTTATTTCTTTTGTTTTCAATTGTTATTCAAATGGTTCTTCCAGAAAAAATTAGTATCAGCCTACATTATTATTACTGGTTCCGAGGCTAAATAGACTATTTATTAGTTATAATTTGGCAATAGCAATAATTTTAATTCATAAAATCGTGCTCGATTCCCCATCTGTGTTCCACTGTAAACAAACGGACGCTCACGCGCTCTATTTCTGTGTCTCATTCTCTGCAGCGCCGCTCGGCACCTGCTATTGCAGAGGGTGTTTGTGTGTGTGTGCATGTATACGTTTGTGAAAGAGAATGTGGAGAGAAGAGAGCCCCTCTCTCAATAAGCATGTGTTTCTGCGGCCGTGAGGAGGCTGTTAGTGCTCTTTCTTTTTGAAGATTTTGTTTTTCTTGTTTGTAAAATGTAAACAAAACTTGTGCGAGTAACTGATGTTATTATTATTGTTATACCCTAAATTCATTGAAAATAGAGTATAATAGTTTTGATCAAATGTATGTAACATATTCATCTGCTAGTTCGATTTTGCCCTAGCTGTGTGGAAATCGAAGAAAAAACCTAAGTATTTTGTCAACTGTTATTCTTCCGTATTTAAGAATTCGATGTACCTAACTAGCATACATCAACTGCTTATAGATTGATAGGGATTGGAAGATTTCTGGGTATCTTCCAGTCGGGCCCTACAGAGAAGAGTGGCTACTGTTGTAGCTGCTGTCGCCAGCTCGGCATTCTTCTGATAAACGCTAATTTGCATATTGATGTTACGCGCTTGTACGACTTGTTTATTCTTGTGTCGGTTATTAAGTGATAAAAAAAATATGTATGAGATTAGGAAGTCTTGCAACACACACTTCTACCACATATCTCTAAAAGATTTGGTTAACAAATTGATATCCTTATTTAGTATATTATATTTAAGTCGCAAGTGGCTGCTATGCGTGCTCCAATCCTCGATGCCATGATGGAAAACCACTTCCAATACCAATAACTGCTCGTATACCACATCCCATTCGACACCAAGGGTAGCGGCGCATGTTTCCAGCAACCATCGAAAGGAGCAGGGGAAAATCGAACGGAGTTTCTGCTTACTGGAGTCTGTTATTCTTGCTACATATCCATGCAGTAGCCAACAATCGAAATTGGATATTTTCAATAGCAACTCGTTCTCTCCTTTTACGTCTTCCTTCTCTCTAATCGGTTCCTCTGGCTTTGGTTGTGCAGATGCTGTAGTCTCTTGGGACAATGGGCGCATCTGACGACGTGGCATCTTCAGTGGCACACGCAGCGGATCCATGTTGTTCTCATCGAATGTTTGTATGGAAGCTAAAGTGTTTAGCGACACATCCTCATTGTCGATAGTCAGTATATAATTGGGCGAGTCGCGTAATTTCCAAAAGGGATTATCTCTCTCTAGCGCCTGACGGCGTACAGCGCAGTCCATAATTTTATTTTGATATTGACGGCCGTAAGTTGCAACAGGTCGTCGGAATTCGAATTTGGGTCGCTTCTCCCGCCGTCGCAGTTCGTCCAGCCAAGTCTGTGTAGTTATATCGCAATTGGCGCGCCATTCCTTGTGGCGATTCTTAGGACGCTTCAGCATCTGAAATATTCCAACTTCCTCATATTCCTTCTGACACGCCAACTCCTCCACACGCAGCGTTTTCCCCCTCACGGACAAATGCTGAGCCAATTCTGTTGTCTGATATTTAAAGGGCTCGAGTTGACGCTCTGTGTGATCTACTTTCATGAAGTCTGGAATTTGTACGCTCATCTCGCCCTCCTCTGCTTGGCTCGCGTATAGGAGAATTCGCTTGAAGTAGCTATGTGCTGGCGTCAAACTGGGCTGAAATTCGATGTGATCCTTCATGAAGTTCTCGCTACTTGACTCGCCGAATTTATTTTTCAGCAATGTCTCAAAAATTAAACAAATATTCTCATGTATGCGCTGCATTGCTGGCGTTATTTGCATCTCATTGTGGTTATATTCATGCTCTTTTTGTTTCCTTTCCTTATTCAAAAAGTCGTCAATCTTGCGCCCATTTCCGGTTGTAATACCAAATCGCTGTGCGAAACTTTCGTTATAATGTGAAACCAAAACTTTACGCAGCTCAACAAACTGCATCCATTCGGTATAAACGAACAGCGGCTGCACTTGCTCTGTCTGCTCATCAGTGGGCTTCAGGAGCTCTTTGTTAATGAGCATGGCGGATTCCGATATAGCGCGCTCCTTGACATCATCCAAACCAAACAGTAGCTTCATGACATATATAATGTAGGCCATGACTCGAGCCTCATAGCGAGGATAAACATGAATTCCATAAATGGGATCAAAGGTAGGTGGCAGTACGTCCATTAAGCTGCTAACATAGCTGGCTATTACTGGCGGTAAATCCAGTTCTAGAACATACCGCTTGGTAAGTGCTTCTAGATCCGGCTTTTGGAAACCATTCATATCTATAAAACGGGACATATTTGCAATCTGAGTACGCAAGAACTGAAATAAAAGATAACAATTATAAGCTATGAGATTTATACAAAATCTATTTAAGTTACCTTATAGCCACACTTATCCTTCTGAGAATTTAATTCCAATTGCTTCATCAGCGTCTTGCCATGTCTGGCGACACTCTCAGGCAAATAACTTAACATATAGCGACTAGTCAGGTGCTCCTCATTAACAAATCTAATTAGATCAGTTAACTGTATATCGTCCTCAATTTGGTTAAGGGCTATGGCCAGCACAGTATACAATTTGATAATGTTCAAACAATAAATCTGCCGATCAAAATTACATAGAAGACTAGCCTTGGGGCGCAGGCCATGGCATAGCATGCTTCCTGAACTGTCCAAACTATGCTTATCCAGATGCTTGAGCGGCATTTGCTTTTTCAAGGATTTGCGGGCATTCACTGACCATTGTAGCTGTATACTTTGGTTAGTTTGCAATGTGGATTCCGATTGGGCGCCTTTTTTTACCTGGTAGCCCGACGCATCCAATTTGCGCTAGAGACATGAAAACAAAATGAGAGAATTGGTTGTCAGTTCACTCTAGATAGTCAGATGATTGATTAGTTGAGGTAATTGGTTAAGTCGTTTGCTAATGTTCAGACTCAACTATAAATAGTCACCCTAGCAAGACACATTTCAGTTCAGCATTTTAGCTTGAAACATTACAATTACAAGATTTCGGAAAATGTCTCTCCGTTTAGCTCTGATCTGCCTAGCACTTCTAGTGCTGGTCTACGCACCGTTGCCTACATCAGCGGCACCTCTAGAGGGTAAGTCTTAGTGCCTGAGCTATTATTTGATAATTTATTCATTTTTCTACACAGCTGCTTTAGTAGAAGCTGATAGCTTGCCCGAAAGTAAGCTTGCAGCATCCCCATCCACACCGTCCTCAGACCCGGCAACTCCAAAGCAGCGCACTTTCTTCCTATTGCTGCCTCTGCTGGATCCCAACCAGTACTACTTCTAATCAATGGACCAATGATGTCGTGATAGAAATAAAAGAAATGCTAAATAAAGTTTAAATTGTAACTTGAGAGTACCTTGGTTTTTCTCCACTCACGCCAGTTGGCGCGCTCATCGCCAGTTTCAGTCATTTTTAATTGCTTACCCTGGCGTTGGCGTTCACGTTTCCGCTTTATCTTTTTGTAATTATAAATAATACGGGCGTCACTAAAGGGTAACAAAATTAGAAATAAAAGTAAAAATATAAGTGAAAGGAAAGAACTGTGTCCTTACCTGGCTAAAGCCCGCACATTCAACTTCGGCAGGCCCATCTCATTGTTTTTGTTGAAGGCAACCTCCATGCGTGCCATGTAGGCGGCCCATACCTGAAGCGTCATTAGCTTGAGCTCTGGCTTGGCGCCCATGTTCAGCAGCTCGTCCAGAAACCCCCGCAGCACATAATTATAAAACTCCCACGATGTAATGTCATTTTCTTCTGTCTTTACTTTGGGTTTCTTTATTGTTTGCTGGGAGAGGTGCTTTGATGGGTCGTTGAATGTGTCTTCGGCACTGATCTCTACAGCGCGTAGCTGCTCCTTCTTAGTGCCGCATTCGATACAGTAATAATAGCCTTCGCGTTCCTGGAATGTGCGCTCACCACAAACATCACACTCCATATGGTCTACAATTACTTCAGTCTCCTCCATTTTTATTATTATTTTGTACAAATTTGTAAAGCGAGCTCGCACGTGCTACCCCACAAAAACATAAGAAATAAATATTCTTTTATATTTACATTTGCTTTGAATCGCCTATCGATAACAAAGCGATTGCCTTTGCGCGAAATTTTAAATAAAATGCTGCTTTTAGAAAATATATTATTTAAGAACTGACTAAATATTTTTAATAATTTCTACTATTTTCAATTGCAAAAAATGAGTGAATTTAAATTTGAGAATATTTGGAAGTCTAGTATATTTAGAACTTGAAGATTTATTTGCGACCCAGTGCAAAGCAAGTTTTCTGCAGTACGATTCATAGAATTACCCAACACTATTTCAGCAAACTAATCGCGCCTTTTGACCTATCCCAACGGTTTAAATGTGCTGAATCGGTATTTTTGCTAAAAGTTTTTTGTTTCTAATCCGATTGGGCACTTTATATAAGATAAATGCAGTGTTTTTGCACACTTAGCCGCTTAATGGATAACTATATTTAGCTGGCTGTCTACCAGTACTGACCAGTATTGAAATGCTTTGCCCTCCGCCCTTTAGGCCCAAAAGCAAAAGCTATTAATTTTGTACGTGCCGAAAGCTTACGACTGCAATGAACAGTCGCTCACAGACGGCCGATCAGTGCAAGTGCAGCAGCAGAAACGGCAACAGCCGCAGCGGACATGGACTCATATGAGAACAGTATAGACGCCGACCTGCCAGATTTTAATGTGTTGTTGAAAGAGGAGGATGATTCAATAGAGAAAAAGGAGCAGCTGCAGGTACAGGAGCTAAGCGATTGGCTAGACGCCAATCCGTATATAAATGGATGTAAGGCCTATGACAGTTTGCACTTTTTCTTGCGCACCTGCAAATTCGATGTTGAACGCGCCAAAATGAAACTAAAAACATTTTACCAAATGCGGGCCGAGCGTACCGAATGGTTTGACAATTGCGATCCCATGTTGCCCGAAATACAGGAACTGCTCACATTGGGCGTCTTTTTGCCCGTCGATGGGGTCGACGATCAACAGCGGAAGGTTGTTATTATACGGACGGCAGCGCACGATCCCAAGCGCCATAGTCAGAACAATGTGTTTAAGGTATACAACATACATATACACAAATATGCAATAGTTGCTAATCTTTGCCCTTCTTATAGACAAGCAAAATGATATTGGATTTGCTATTAAAGTTTGAGCCAGACAACTGTGCTCGCGGCATCGTTGCCATCATGGATATGCAGGGTGTCCAATTGGGTCATGCACTGCAGCTGAATCCCAAGCTCATTAAGCGTTCCGTTGAGAGTTGGACGGCATATCCATGTCAGCCCAAGATTTTGGAATTCACCAATGCCCCGCGTCACGTTAACCTATTTTTAAATACATTTCGGTGAGTCCGATAGAAGGCTTTTATAATTATATATATGAAAACATTAATATATCTATGTATATATGGTCGTTTTAGGGTCTTCATGACGACTAAGATACGATCCCGCGTCGTAGTGCGACGCGAGGGAACAATGGTAAAGTGCAAGCAATTGCCAATGGACTTGGGTGGGCAGGGGCCCAGTTACAAAGAGCTGGCTATGAAGTGGAAGCGATTGCTCGAACAGAACGCCGACTTCTATGTGGAGCAAGGCAAATATAAAAGCCTAGTCAAGCGATAAGCGTCCGATTAGCTAAATACAATTAAGATTTCAAGCAAACATATTTACAATAATGTATATATGTACATATGTTGTATATAGTATAAAAATACTTTCAGTATGCGAATTATGGCTGTTAATCCGATAATGTGTACAAATGGCGTTGTGCTTTTTTTATGGTCCGTTCAAGCTTTAGACAATGCTCACTTCATATTCACAAATATTTATTTATGTTTTATCATCATCATTAGTTTCGCTTTGCTGAAATGCGTTCAGGTTTCTCTTATCGTTCACATTCGTAGAATTAAATTGAACGGTAAAGTACATACAATACAATATACATATTAATCATCAATTCGATATAAATATTGAATTAATAAAGTAAACTTAACGCCTGGTTTTTCTTTCATTATATTTTCAGTTTCTTTATTAGTATAAAATAGTATATCAAAAATGTTTATCAAGTCTATGTTTATTATCATTTATTGGGGCTATCGAGTGTCGTCTCACTTTGCTAGAGGCTTGCAATGCAATAGATTTCACATCTGTTGATCGATATATAAAATAAATACGTACACACCACATACACAATACAGTAAACAAATGAATTACGCACAGATTTTGTGAACAGAATATTGTTTATAAGCGGGATTTGTTAGTGTATCATTGCGTGCTGTTTGTTATGTTGATTGCTTTTTTGAATGTACATACATATGTATATAAATATAAATATGCTTTATATATCTCTTAAAAGTACGTGTCACATATAAAAATATATATAGTAGATGTTGCTCATCATATTGTTTGCAAACAGCACACTATCGGGGATAGGTTTAGTGGGACCACATCAAGCACTGAACAAAACTTAAAGGCTATAAACGAGAAAAGGAAAGGCGGTAACTAACTAAAGCGTATGAATATATATATATATATATATATATATATCCCTATAGCAACAATATGCAATTGAAAGTAAAGCGCAGTTGCGCCCGCCCATCACAAGTCCAATTGCAAGCTATTGCCGCTATTGACAGTGGTCGCATTGTCCACTGATTGCAGTGATTCCTATATTTGCCGTTCATCCTTTGCCGTCAGCTTATCGATCAGTTCTTGCAGTGGCGCCAGTTCGCGTCTCTCAATCAGGTTGAACTCTTGGACAAAGAATATAAAATGCTTAAAGGACGTATTCAAATGGGCCTCCTCGCCCAGCGTCACCACTTCGGAGAAATGCTGGTGATAGATGTGCGCATAGACACGGAACAGTCGCTTTAGTATGGTTTTAGCGGAGGCAAGAAAGTTCTTTGGAAATGGTACACCAATTTTTGATGGAAACAGTGTTTCGTCATCCAATTGATCCTGCACCCAGGTCATTAGATAATCAATATACTTCGGCGCGCTGCATTTGATGGGCTTCTTCACAGTCAAACCATCCGCCCAATGGTATTCGTATTTCGGACCAGCCGACATTATACTACAGCTTTCTTCTGTGCAAAACTCCGTAATTGTACCATAGAGCATATTAATTTGATTGAAAAAATCCACGGCTATAAGGAACAAATAGAGAAACAATTAGTTATGCTCGGTTTAATTAATTTTGCACTACTCACTGTTGACGGCCACCCATTCGTTGAGATCCTCACCATCGGGCAGAGCGACTGCATTGCGTAAATTCCCCGAGCCAAGTGTGGCAGCTGCATGCTTCATGAGATCATATTGATGCGTGCCCTCTGGTATGTTCTTTTTAGGTTTAAACGTTTTGCTTGAACGTGAACCGCTAAAGACAACAAACATAAAAGAAAACAAAATGTTGTTTTGTATTGGCATGCCACAACAAACAACCCCAGGCGACTTACAAACGGTGGAGCCACTGACTCACACCCACAATATTGGTTGAACAAAGCACGAAAGGGTAGTGCTCTTTGTTTCAGTTGCAAGTGCAACAGTGTTTCCAGTTCACACGACATACGACATACAAACTTGCGTATGTAAAATGAACATTATACGTACTTCTGTTTGTACATACATATGTGATTCAGTTACTACATACATTTGCATGTATATATACTTACAACAAAAATTCCATTGCCATGCAGTTATTGTTGCCGTTCACTTGCCACGAAGGTAAACTTGTCGACAACCTCTTTAGCAATATAGTTATTTCCTGTAAGTTAACCGTCTTGGACGATTTGGAATACAAAATATAAATATAAATCTGATGGTAATTATAATTATTTCCAATCCAAGAAATTGTTGGCAGGGCACTGTGTAGGGCTGGCAATAAACACCGACAACATCGATATTTCGAACTCGATATACGATATACTAATCATGTTATGCACTCGCGATTAAATTGATGATAAAGGGATTGTGTTGCCACATGTTCGGAAATGTCGACGTTCGATGTGGTGGTACACTTAAAAATTGAAGTGTGTAAACACTGGTCTTTCTGTTTAGCACGTGGAAAAACAACGCGCCTTGCCGTCCCGTGAAATATTGATATTTTCTTTATTATTTGACGGCATATTATCGCCTTAAATATGGTAATTATATTAAAAATATAGTCGATTCAATTTGCAATTGGTAAAGTTGAAAACTGTGTCTTATACATATAACTAACCTAAGTATAAGACCCTGCGGGAGTGGGCTCGAGACAACGTGGAAAAAAATGGCTAAATGAAACTAAAGTTTCTGTAAATTTTATGTGTTGATATGTGTTTTCTTACATTTACAGTCGAATCTGTACGTGCTTTACGAGCATGCAGCAGGCTATGCGCTATTCTCCGTTAAGGAGTTCGAGGAGGTGTCCATGTTCCTACCGCAAGTCGAGTCCTCCGTCACGGACCTTTCGAAGTTCAATTCCATTGTAAAACTGGCGGGATTTGCGCCGTTCAAGACGGCGATTGCGGCCCTCGAGAACATTAATGCCATATCTGAGGGCATTGTGCCGGAGGATTTGCTGCATTTCCTTGATGACTTCTTTGCCAAGCTAAAGAAGAAGAAGTGCACCCTAGGCATTGCAGATGCCAAGCTGGGAGCTGCCATTACAGAATCCATCGGCGTTGCGTGCAGTCATTTTGGTGTGGTGCCTGAGATATTGCGAGGTATTCGCTTCCACTTTGCCAAGCTGGTAAAAGGTAAATCAATTGGCCATTTTATAGATTTTTCAGTAACTAATAGCAATCTTTTCAGGCTTCACTGACAAGTCAGCTGGAGTGGCACAACTCGGTCTGGGACACAGCTACTCCCGTGCCAAGGTCAAGTTTAATGTCCATCGATCAGACAACATGATCATTCAGTCAATAGCGCTGCTGGATCAGCTAGATAAGGATGTTAACACGTTCTCCATGCGGATACGCGAGTGGTACTCCTACCACTTCCCAGAACTGGTCAAAATTGTTCCAGACAATTATATGTTTGCCAAGGCAGCCAAATTTATCAAAGACCGAAAGGATCTAACTCAGGACAAGCTTGAAGATCTGGAGCAGATTGTTATGGACTCTGCCAAAGCTCAGGCTATAATCGATGCTGGAAAAATGTCCATGGGCATGGATATATCTATTGTGGATCTGATGAACATTGAGATGTTTGCCGAGCGTGTCGTGAAACTCTCGGAGTACCGCAAAAAGCTTTCCACCTATTTGCACAACAAAATGAACTTGGTTGCCCCCAACCTGCAGTCGCTCATAGGCGATCAGGTGGGCGCCCGCCTTATTTCACATGCCGGCAGCTTGACAAATCTGGCCAAGTATCCCGCGTCGACAGTACAAATTCTGGGCGCTGAGAAGGCACTTTTCCGTGCGCTTAAGACGCGCTCCAATACGCCCAAATACGGTTTGATCTATCATTCGTCGTTCATTGGCCGTGCTGGCCTCAAGAATAAGGGACGCATCTCGCGTTTTCTGGCCAATAAATGCTCGATCGCCTCTCGGATCGATTGCTTCCTGGAGCAGCCGACTAGCGTCTTTGGCGAGTCGCTAAAGCAACAAGTGGAAGATCGTCTGAAATTCTACGAGTCCGGTGATGTGCCCCGCAAGAATATTGAGGTCATGAAGGAGGCCATAGAGGCGGCTGGCCAAGAGATCGCCGATGCCCCACAATCCGAGAAGAAGAAGAACAAGAAGAAGAAACGTCAGGCAGAGGCTGACACAAATGGCACCAGTAATGGTAATGGCGTAGCCGTAGCCGGCGATGAGGCGGCGGATAATGGCAATGCTGAGGCTGACGGAGAGCCCAAGAAGAAGAAAAAGAAGAAGAACAAGAACAAGCAAGCCGTGGAGGCGTAAACACATACACCAATGCCCATAAGGCATTCCACCCATTGCTTAGTTTTTTAGTCTTAAGTTGAAATTCTATTATTTTACTTACAATTCTTTTCTGTATTTCATGATACCCCAACTTAATAAACAATCAATCAAATTTTAAACAGAGCCGCATAGTTTTTGATTTCATTCTTTATTTTCACACATTCGTTTTATATACATACACATAATTGTTTAATTATTGCTAATTTATTTTATATTAATAATTTTTATTTTTTTTGTAACAATTTCAATGATAATTCAACCGTCCATCTTTCCTACTGTTGTGCTAAATATCGATTTAGTACAACCATTATTAATTATATATTTTATTGCATTTCTGACGAACATTTAAACACACAAACGTATTTAAATTCCGAGTGGTGACAACAGGACGGATATGAAATTTATATTTTCGGTTTTGGGTAGGTTTTGGAATTTCAAGGAGGGAAATCAATGGGAGCCACGCTTCATAATCATAATATTAATACAATTGGAATTATAATTTGATTTAACAAACGATTTTGCAACAGATAATCAGAGTTTTCACATTTAATACAAAGGGGGGATAGCATAGAGTGTGTGTGTGTGGGTGTGTGATGTGTTAGTGTCTTTGTGTGTGTGTGTGTGTGTGGAACGTCATTAGGCTAATAAATATCATTGGAACAAATCAAACGCTGAGGAATTATTATTGCTGTTGTGATGCTGCTGCTGCTGCTGTTGTGGTTGTTGTTGTTGCTGGAACGCACCGAAATTGGCAAATGCTGCTGGCTGTGCCTGCATATGTGGAATGTTTTGTTGCGGCGCCCCAAACAAATTGGGGCTGGTCAGTGGCGAAGGCGCGAGCCCACCGAATCCGCCACCAGTTTGCACATTCAGCGGCGCCTGCGTCCGGGCCGGACTCTGCGTTTTCAGCGTATTCATTGACGGTGCCGGCGTGTTCGATTTGGCCGATTTGCTTATCAACAGATTGTCCAGATCAATGTTCAAATTGCCGGCCTTCAGGTTGCCCGACCAAGTGGCACCCACATTTGTGGGCTGTGTGCTGGCCGAAGTCGTGGCGCCATTTGTATTGATGTTGTTGTTGCTATTATTATTATTATTATTGTTGTTGCTTTTGTTGGATACGCACATCGGCTGCAACAGGTTGTCGCCGGCGACAGCAGCAATTGGCGGCAACATGTTATCTGCAAAGAGCGCACAGACAGTTTCGGATCAGTTGAGGTATATGCAAATCATAATCTAAGGCATCTAATAGTATAGGCATAAGAGATACAGAAAAGCAATGGTGTGTGTGTGTGTGTGTGTGCGTCTAATTGTTAAAGAAGTTAATTATGTGATGGGTGTGTGCGTGTGTGTGTGTGTTGATTGGAAGCATTTGTTGTTAAACAGGCGCAGCTAATTCAATCAGCTAAGTGCAGTTGCATAAACAATTGTTTTGTAACTGTAAACAATTGTTGTTGTTGTTGTTGTTGTTGTTGTTGATGTTATTTGGTATTTGTTTACCTAGTGTGTCCGCGGCTGTGGCACAATGCCCGGTATATTGAGAAAAGCTTTCAGTTATTTATACAAATATATGTACATACATACATACATATATATATGGTCGATATTTGAGTTGATCACAAGAATATATATATAATTTACAAATGATATCCAAATTGTGCGTTTGCAATAAAAATTGTCAAAAAGGGGAAAAAAAGGAATAGAAATAAATAGAAATATTTGTTCAAATAATATCCGTTATAATAACACTGCTAACGATCTATATATCGAGCTATATACATATGTATTCTTCGTGCATATAGCACAAAGTGTTGAGATTCCAAAAAGTATTGCAAGGTTTTTTTTTTGGCTTTACTTTTGGTTTTATTTCGAATTATTCAAATTTATCAACATATTTATTATGGAGAGTATACGATATATGATATATGTAGAACTAACGGCGGATATTAAAACACTAAGTCCGTGTATGATTATATCTAATGTGTTTGAAGTTCCATTAAATCTCTTCTTAATGCAATTCCCAATTTTATATGACATGTCTTGAATTAATTTAGTTTAGTCTTAATACATATGACGTATAAAGTATAGTTTAAGTTATTAGTTCTTTTTAACAGAGTAACGCATATAGTTGTGTATAGAAACTGGTTTAAGACTACCCAATTTCTTGTGCAGTTCAAGTCAAACTTGTTGCCAATATTCGAAAAACATTTCTTCTTAGCAAAAATTCATAATGTGGAAAATCTTTGACTCGGCAAAACGAAAATTTTTAAATTGGATTCGTGTCAATATGAAACATTAGTAATACTAAAATTAAACCCGATTCATAATTTTTTAATTTTCACTTAATTATCTATTAAATAATATAGCATAAAATATTTCAGCTTATCTAACTAAGCGGCCTGCCCAAAGTTCGCTGTATCGAATAGCTTGTCGCATATGCCCAGAATCTGTTGGGCGAGCTCGCGGCACTCGTCGGATGATTCACCACCCACGAGGGGTGAGCGCACAAGCTCATCCAGCCAACGCTTGAGCTCGATGAGAGATTCAGCAAAATGGGCACTCAACAGGTGGGTAGGCGTGGCAACCAGAGCTATGCCCAATAGTTGCAGCGTAGCCGAACGCACTCGTGCCTCGGCGTTGAAGCGCACAAAGACGCACAGGTCGAAGACCTCGCGCGTCATCGCCGGCTGCAGCGGGCAGTTCTGGGCGCACAGGACCAGCACGGCCAGCGTGTGCAGCATGTTGACCAGCAGCTGGGTATCGATGTCATGCGAAATATTCTCATATTTCACATAGAGCATTTGACGCGTGCGCTGGCCACGCACCAGGCCAAAGAAGAATGTGCCGGCAACGGCATGGAAGGGATTGACCTTAGCCTTGCTGTCCGGCGTTGCCCTCTTGCTCACATAACGCTTCGTCTTGGACCGCAAGCGTTCGCGTATGATGCGCTGCGCCGCCGCCAGCCGGTCATCAGCCTCGTTGTCAGACTGCAGCTTGAATTTGCGAGGCTGCTTGGCTACGGGCGGCACAATGTCCAGAGCCTGTTGGTCAGCTGCCAACTGAAGCTCATCATCGGCTAGCTCCTTGGCTGCTGCAGCCAATACCTGTAGTATGAGAATGCGGACATTGGCCGCGTACCGCGTGTTGTCCGTGTGGAACATGCGACAGAGCAGCTCCGCACAGGCACCGGGCTTAGCTACACAGATGGCCACACAGCAACGGAACCGGGTGCCGTCAAAGTCCTCGAAATAGTACTGCATATCAAGGCCGATGAACAGCTCCATCAGCTCAAGAGCCAGCTTGCCGTCCTGCTGCGCCAGTTGGCTGCGTATCAGTTGCTCAGCTGTGGCCATGGCACCTTCAAAGATCTCATAATTGGCCACCTTGGTGCGCAGCAGGTGGAGTAGGTCGAGCACAAACTTGGGTCGCTGTTCCAGGCTGTTGGAAATGTCATTGGACATGTCATATGGTTTCAGATCATCCTCGTCATCCTCGTCGAGCGGCAGGGTTGGTGAATCATCGTCGTCCGAGTCCAGGTCCAGTTGCATTTTAGCAGTATCTTTAGCAGGCGACGGCACAATTGGTGGGCGGAGCTGTTGCTCCTCGTCCTCCATTAGCTGAGCCATATGCAGCTCGAGGCGTTGCAGCAGCTTTTGACTGGGCCTCTCATCTAATTGCTCCTTGCCGGGATACTTGAAGTTCGCCAGCATTTCAAGCTCCTCGATGAGATGCCAATGTGGCGTTTCCTGCATAGCAGCGTAATCAAATTTCAGTCGATCCTCCTCTTTCGCCTCTACAGTTAGCATGTTGTTATACAGCAGCTCCACCGTCTTCATGCCCAGATAACGCTGCACCTTGTCGGGCGACTGCAGATGATGAGTCATTCCCTCGTGCAGCAGCCGCTTGCGCTCCTCTTGCATGTTGACATTACATTCTTTGCCAGCCAGCACCAGCAGCTTGCATATGGCCACATGCTCCTGGCTGCTCAGCTTTTGTAGGGTGATTCGCTTGGACCACATGCCCAGCAGCTGGTTAAAAAGCACCTGCAGCTCCGCGGCTGCCGTCACGGCGAGATACCCCACTAAAGTGCAGAGTGGTCCATTCTCTGTGGGCGCACGCTGCAGCGGCAGCTTCTGGAGCAAGCAATGCTGCCAATGTGGCTGCTCCAGTGCACCGGGTCCCAGCAGCACGTAAAGATTAAGCTCAGCATTGAGCGCCGACTGTGCCACTTTAAAACAGGCCGCTGGCTCCAGGTGATGTAAGATTTGTTGCAACACGCTGCGTGACCTCGGTGGAACCGCAAGATCTTCCAGCACGCGCATTAGCTTCTCCAATGTGGCAGCCTCAAAATAATTGTTAAGCACGCGTGAGAGCATCCAGCTAAACGGACTTAGATCAAAGTATCCAGCCGGTTCCTCGCACTGCAGCACAAAATACACAGCTCTGATCCAATGGCGCAGGAGCAGGCGTCCGTAAGCGATCGTCGCAAATATTGGAGGCAACTGTCGTCCCACCTTGTTGGCCACCAGGCCAGGCAGCCCAATCAACAGTTGTATGAACTGCAGAGTCCGCTCATCATGTTCGTCCACCAGCCGCTCGGGCAGCACTTTAATGGTGCGCGCAAATCGTTGCATTAACGCTCCACGCTGACGTGTGAGGTGCAGCAAGCACACGGAGATCAAGCTCTGATCCTGCACAAGGGCGGCGAGCATGGAGGCAGCTGTGCCGGGCACCCGTTCCAGTTGCTGTTGCAGCGTCTCAAATGAAACGTCCACATATCCGAAGCTGTAATCCAATTTAAACATATTTAGAACATCCACATCATCTGTGGGCCGGGGCCAATCCCGTGTGAATAGTCTGCCAAGCTGGGCGAGCAGCGCTGCAAACTCATCGTCTGCCAGTTGCGACCAGTCAACCACACGGCAATCGAGCCCCACGAGTTGCTCTGGCGTCGTGTAACCGGGCAAAGCGCCAGCGCTGTGTAATTGACGCAATGTGGCAGCCACATAGCTGACATCGGCGGCGCTCTGTACGCGTGGCAAATCTCGTAGGCTTGCAATGGCCTTCGATAGGGTCAGGCGTATTGATTCCGATGGCGGCGGCAGCGACGCCTTTGCGACGTGCGGAATTTCAACAGCTGCATTGGAGCGGAAAGGAAGAAAAAGAGAACGAGTGCATCCGATTGGATTATGTTGACCGTTATGTGTGGTAGCTAGCTTAGCGACATGAGTTACAGAGATTAGGGGGGAGATAAGGAGCGAGAGATAGAGGCTGGACTTTCTTTGATACACAAATCGCGCTGTCATGCAAAACGTTTGATTGACGCCCACTAAATTAAGTAAAGTAATCTACGCTAGAACGAATCCTAATGCGCGTCCAGATATCCAATTATATATATTAACTTAGTATATATAAACTCACCCATTGGCATGCTCTGATGAATCGACAAATCACCCAATCCGGCCAGCAGATCTGTGGCTGTTGTTGCCGTTGCCGTTCCTGCTGGCGCTGGGGTGTTGAATAGGTCAAAGGCATCGTTAGCTGGCGTCGCAGTCGTCAATAGGTTGCCGTCCAGTACCGATGTGGATGACACCGTCGCAGCACTAGAGCTCTGGAATGCCTCAAAGTCCGCAAACTCTTCATTGCTTGGCGGCGGCACTATGCCCGTCGAAGGTGGCATTGAGCCGCTGCCAAAAGCAGCCGCAAAATCACCAAACTCTTGCGTGGGAGCAGCATCAGCAGCACGCGGATTGAAGTCATCGTCGTCATCAATAATAACAGCGGCGCTATTAAGCGTCTTCTCGACTTTCGGCGACTGCTGTACTGGGCTCGTTGAACACGTCTTGAATAGATCATCCAGCAAATCATTGTTGTTAATCGGTGTATTGCTCTTGTTATTGTTGTTGCTGGGCGAACCGCCGCCCATTAGATCAACGCTATTTGTAGTGGGCGTGTCGCGATGCGTAGGCGAGTGAATGCCGGCCGCGTTCGGCGTCTTGCCAAAGTTAGCCGCAGCACCCAAATTGATTTTCTTTTGTGGTGGCGGCTGCTTTGAGGTGCCAGCGGATGTGGGCTGCTTGGACACCGGCGAGCTGACCGCCTTTGAGCGTATGTTCATGTTGAGGTTTGTTGGCTTGCTCTCAACAGCCACCTCAGCGGGACTGGCACGATCATTGTACCGATAGTTGCGCCTAAAAGCGAAGACAAACTTTATTAACACATAATCAAAACAAATTATGAGACAACTTACCTGGGACTGGGTGAATCACTGTCGGAACCTTCACGCTCGCCATCATATTGAGTATCCTCGTCCTCATAACGGTCCGCAGAGCTCTTATCGGAATCTAAATTTGCAACAATTCAACAAACATCGAGAAATACAATACTGTTTAATATTATAGACAAATTGCTTACACCAATTGTCCCCGCGATTGCTGCGCCAATCCCCGTCGTTGTATCCTCCGCTGCCGCCGCCGCCGCCCCCACTGTATCCGCTGTAGCCACCGCTGCGGGAGCCCATGGCATCACTGCTCATACCAATATACTTGTCCTTATTCTTTTTGGCTTTTTTGCGCTCCTCGCGCAAACGATCATCATCTTGAATAAAGTCTATAAGCTCTCGTACCTTATGCCTAACATTAATACCCTGATCCTTGCCGCCTTCGTCCGTAAACGTATAATTCTCCAATGAACGCAGATCATAGATGTGCTCCCGCGACGACGTCACCACGCGCTCCGAACCATTGCGTACCAAATAATTCAACAGCAACAAGCTCTTAAAGTGTATAAATAAATTAGCATATGAAAGCACACAAATATTTATTTGCTTTACCTTGTACGTCCGTCTCCAATTGGTTTTGTTGTCCTGCAGCATACGTTTCCAAAGCATGGACATGACTTCCGGAAAGGTCTCATAGGAGAATGTAGCGTGCGCCAGCTCCTGCATGAGCGGACCTGTTGGACCCCAGGGATCGTCGTTCGTCGCCTCGCGCACCTTGCCCTCTATTTCTGTGTAGTTCATTACGACATTGGTGCTGCACGAATATTACCATTAATTATTAATCAAGGAAAAACAGTTACAGCCGAGGCATGCTCTAAACTGCACAATCCACTAAAAATAACGTTGAATTTATACGACCTAAACTCAAAACAAACAAAAGCCCGCATATTTTTTGTTTATTCATATTTTATTTGCAATCTGTTATAAACTAAAATATAGGCAAATTGACTAACAATAACTATTAATTAGCCGGGCGTTGTGAGCTCCAGAGCTTTTAATTCATAGGATAAATATATGAGGGCATAATCTCGGATTCATCTCTTTCTACGCTAAGGTCATAAATTGAAGCTTATTTAATATTAAAAAGTAAATTTTAGTTCAGCCCGTCTTAATGATTAGAGCTTATCCACTTGTTTCATAATTGTTAACATGATACTAAAAGTGTGAATTGACACAATTGCACCTTATCAGTTGGAGATAAGCACCTAACGGACTTGGACAATGCACCGAGAAAATTACGGCTACTATACCAATTAAATTGGGACAGCCAAACAATCGACAAAGCGGAAATGGTCTCCACATTTGTGGAGAAAATTGAAAGTTTGAACACGCACAGAACACTCAAATGACATCGATAGTAAATTATGATAAAAGATAGTAATTAATAATAATAAGCGCTCGTAATTGGAATTGGAATTTCACTGGAAAGTCAAGTGGAAGCACGAATGTCAGCACAGCTGGAATGCATATCTTATTTTGGGGCACACCGTTAAGCAAACAAAATGTTTTTCTTGATAAAATATATATACATATGTATATGTATGCGTGTACTTATAATATTCGAGTGCAGGTGTATGTGAGAATTGGTATTACTACTGTGAAATGAGCTCGAACGTACAATCAAGTCTCGATAAAACGAACAACCTTGAATACAATAAAAGCAGCCAACAGCAAACAAAGCCCAGCGTTAATCGCTCTTCCATAAACGTGGAGACTGAGCAAAACTATATCACTTTTGGCACGACTGCATTTGTAGCACCTGTGTATTGAAAGAGACAGGTACTGGGGGGTGGGGAGTTGTTGTTGGCGAAGGGCGTGGGAGTGCTGGAGTCCCCCTTTTACTTATGCGTCTTTTATTGTTGTTATCTCTTAGTATACTCCACTTTTATGTATACTAATTATGTTGTAGAACTTACACTTTGTCAGCCAACTCGCGCACTCTCCACATGCTAATAAATTTATCAACCATTTTAACTTAATTCTCTGCTTTGGAATTTTTCACACAAACTTGCCAAGTTGCTGGCAGACAAAACTAGTTTTTTCCTTTATTTGGGACGTATATATATTACGTATGCATATATAAGTTGTTGCACAAAAATCGCGTAATGTCGAATTACATGTAGCTGTACACGTTTTATTTCTATAAGCCAAATAATAAGTATAAAATTTAAACGAAAATGCAAAGTAAAATCACTGCACTCTGCAGGCAGAATTTTGGTGAGCTGTCTCCCGTCAGTGTTGCTAATACTTTGTGGAACAGTGCTGTAAATGTGAGTGAATGTGAATGGTGGTATCGGTGGTACAAATTCGATATTTGATAAGTATCGATATAATACCTTTCATACCGATATGTTGCCAATAAGAATATTTTACAACACTGGACCAGGCTGCCGTTGCCGTCATCTGTGGAGCTGCAGAACTTTGGAAATAATAACGTAATAATTCCTTAAAATAAATTAATAATGGATCATGACAATAATATTTAGCTATTTTCTGTGATACAACACCTGTTGTCATCGGACCGTTTCCGAACGGACTGAGTATTTTAAGCAAAAAAATGTAAACAAAAAGGTTATGTAAACTCCATTGGTCTTACAGCGTGAGGATTAGCCGCCAGCACTCCACGGATACACAAGGAATATAAGTGAAAATGTTGGGACTACAGCGATTTGCCGGCAGCATTGTCGTACAGATATACCGGGGCGCAAGATACAGCAGTAACGCACGTGCGGCGAGCGCGGCACTTGCAACGGCGGCTAGTAATGGACAAGGAGTGGGATCAGGTGCCGCTGAAGAGGCTGAAGTGCGTACGGCGCCAACGGATTTGAGTGCTAAGAAGCCAAAGGTTTCGGGTGTGTACAAATATGGTTATCTAATGAGTTTCTTTTTATAATTTAATTGATTAATTTAAAGGTATGGTTGCTGCAGCATTTGAATCGTTAAGAAACGAAAACGAAACCACTGGAAAAGCAACAACGAACAACTCAAGCTCTACGCAAGCCGTTAATAATATAGATGAACGGATCATCAATGCTAAAACTGTTAATGGTCTGTTGGCCATAACCGAAAACAATAACGCATTTTCACGTAAACACGCTCTGAAGATTGTGTCCATACTAGCCGAATGGAGTACCATCAATCGCGTGAAAATATCTGAATTTGAAAACGATTCAAGATTTTTGCGTGTTTGTCGAATGCTAGGCCGCACCACGCCAAAGAATGAAGCCAATGGCAAAAAAAATGGCACTGGAAGTGGCACGAACAACTCCAACAAACGCATTTCTGGCTTTCGCACCGACGACCTCAACACGGTTCTTGGTGTAGCTGGGGATGATGAAGCAGCGAAGCTAATAGCTAGCATAAGTCTTCCCCAAATGGTGAAAGTGATGAGCACCCTCGCGCAACGTAAACGCCGTAGTACTCCTTTGCTGCGCTCACTAGCGTTTAACATTAGCAGTTCATCAGATCCATTAGATCTGAAGCAAGCTGCTGACGTTCTGTATGCCATGTCCACTTTAAACTTTCAAGACTCTGTGCTCGGTGCAAAAGTTTGTGCTGATGTGCAGGCCGCTCTGCCAAAGAATACTGAGAAATCGGCCGTTGTCGGCTCCGTGCTGACCAGTCTGGGCATAATGCGTTATCGGGATCTAGGTATGTGCTAAACACCATCCACCGTTTACAGAAATTACACAGTACACTTTACAGACATATTGGAATCGTTGACGCAGTGGCTGCTGAAGAATAGTGAAATTTGTCGACCTCAGGATCTGAGCGCTTATTTCCTAACATCGGCGCTGCTTAACTTCAAGAGTGCAAATTTGGAGGATGTGCGTAATAAGCTGGCGAAATCAATTGTCCGTGAGGATTTCACCAAGCAATCGGATTGGCTGAACTATGTTTGGTCACTGACACTGCTGGGTATAGTGGAACACAGTCAGATAGATTCGGTGCTGAGGTTGGACTTACAAGAGTTTGGCTTAAAATTAACTTAACTAATTGGTTTCAACTTTCAGCACGGAATTTCTGACTAAATTGGAGAGTGATAAGGCGGTCTTTACGCCAACATCCAAGATGAGGCTACTGAATCTAAATAGTTATGCGCAATTATGCCTAACCGGCTATAAGGGTGCTTTGCTGCCAGCCGATAGTCCAGCCTATGATGTTCCTATGGCGCACACGAAGTCCAAACAGATTCTTGTCAACGGAATGCTCGACGCGTTAAAGAGCCTGTTGCCTGCCGTAAATCATGTGCAGAGTTCGGTCGACAGCAAAATGGGATTCCTAATTGGTATGTCAAAGTATAAAATTTAGAATGGTTTTGCTCTAAAGTAATTAAAATTTAAATTTTAGATGCGGTGTGCCAGTTTGATGCAAAACGTAACCCCCTTCCCCTGGACAGTCAGAGTGCTGATGCTATTAAGTAATTATTACTAAATGTGATCTAATTATGAGCTTGGTTTCATATTCGGTATATTATACTTTTAGGATCGCCCTAATGGTAGTTGATTTCCATGACATATGCCACGGAACGCATCGTAGTGCCAGCGGCCCAACGAATCTAGCGTTCGATCTGCTGGAAAGGAGTGGCTATCAAATTATACCTGTGCCCCACAGCGAGTTCAGCACCAGTGACAAATTGCTGAAGCGCGTTCAGTATCTGGAGGCGAAGTTTAAGGCTATCGTTAGTAAATAATATCAGTTATAGAAAGTTGCTCCTTTTATCAAAATTTGAATTGTTTGATTATTGTAGTCTTATAAAAACAATCAAATAACTGCATAAGAGAAAATATACAATTGCCGTAAGTAGACTTGTTGTAATATGCCCCGATAAAACTTTTAATTTGATAAAGTAACTGTTTTTGTTTTTTGTTTTGCGTGCTCTTGCTTTACTCTCTATCCAATTTGCTGCTGCGTTGCTTGTTCATGCCCACCTTCCACCACAGTCCTGTCTCCTGGAACTCAGTGGCAACAGCAGCGAGCGTGTGGAATAGATTGCGTGCCAGCATATGACTATTGGCCACATGCAGTATGAACTTGGGATCGTAGACCTTTTCTAGGTCCTCGATCTTGTAATGATCGCGCGTTTCACGCTCTGTCAGGCAAATGCAGTTCCATGGCGACCAATCGTCGCTCTTATTCCAGCGAGGTAAACTAACGAAATGTGTGTTAAGTGCGATAATTCAATTAATTCACATTTTAAGAGAATGCTTACCGCAATTCATTTAGATTCTCCGACTTGCTCAGCGCCGAATGACCATGCCAGATTTTGTCTATCAAATGACGCACATCGTCCTGCTGAATGACAAAGGCAAAGGATGAGGCGCATTTGCGTTTGCGCTCGTCGCGCTGAATACAGCGTAGAATCGACTGATATACATTATTCTCTGTGGCCACCAGCTGAAAGGAATTCGCATTAGCAATAAAGTCAAGCAGATGAGGCAGCTCACCTTCAGGTAATAGCAATGCTTGCAAGTGTCCACGTGACTCTGGCGCGTGCGGATTGCGAAGTCTGCATACGGCTTGACCTTCTTGCAGACGATGCACATGCGTGAGGGCACCTCTGTGGGCGAGATATATAGTTAAATGCTCCGACATCTGCTAATCGTTGGTTACTTACTGTCTGGTATGCCATTCTTCTGAAATTTAATCAGCTCAAAGAATAATATGTTCTGGCGTTTGCGTAGGATCTCCACATCGCACGACTTGGTATAGAGCAGCAAGTTCCTCTCCCGGTCGAACAGATCAAAAAGCTACAAATTATAGCACTTATAGCAAATCAATCACAGTTCAATGCCTTAGATTTACCTCAGCGAAGTTGGGAAAGCAGGACTCTTCGGCCACCAACTGCATGACACGTCCCAACAGCTCCAGACGCTTCTCCTTATCATCCGTTTTGCGCAGATCCTTGTAGATCTCAGTTAGAAATCGCACACGCTGCGTACGCAACAAGTCCATGTGTATTTTCGTATCATTGTAGCCAATCCATTCGATCGGCTTGCCCATTTTCTTTAAGAGCTGGTCGTTGCGGAAGTCCTCCATGGCCATGTGAACGAGTCGACGCTGACGCTCCACACCGTTGAGCAAGCTAATCTCCTTGTCCAGCAGAATGTTCACCTCGGATATGCGAGCAGGTCCCTCATAGTTGGCTGCAATGCGCTTGAGTTCAGCCCGCTTCCAGCGTGAGATTTCGGCAAAGAGCAAGTCAAAGTCATCGTTGGTGCGTGGAAACTGTTTGATTTTTTTATTGCGTTCCACTCGCTGCTCCACGCACTTCTCGTAACGCTCGTCCTCATCCAGGCGATTTTTCACCAGACGTCTGAGAATGCACGCTGGCGATAATGATCAAAAGATCTTTTAATAAACTCACTTAGCCCTACGTACCTATACTCCGCGGCACGCAGATGTATATATTTCCAGAGTATCCAGCGCCGCCAGTTGCGCTGTATAAGTAGAATCTTCTTGAGCTTATGCTCGGCACGTTCTATCTGCGCGTATGTTTGATATTTTCCAGGTATGATCTCAAAATCTGTGGCCGTCGACTCGTATCTGATGTTGATTTTATCCAGGTAACATTGCACCGACTGCTCATGGGCTGTATTCTACAATAGGCAATGCAATGGGCTTAGTGGAGAATATGCTTCTAAAGGAATGTCTTCAATGGCTTACCAAAATCTTTTCCTTGTGCTCCCAGGTTTGGGTGTCGCGTGTACGATAGCGCTTATACTTCCACTTGTCAAAGTATGGACCGGTTTGTGTAAAGGCATCCAGATATTCTTTGCCAGTTTTCGTATCCTGGTAGCCGCACAAGAAGGGCTTCTCGATTGCCGAGTTCTCGATCTCGACCACAATATTCTTAGGCTGCCCGTCCTCCGTATCCTCGCCAGAAATGTGCACAGTCAAATAGTCGGGCAAGCGGTATTTTCTGCATAGATCATTACCGGATCATTAGATATATCATATTAGAGGCGCCTCTTGCTACTCACTCGTAGTAAACGCGCAGACTTAATTTGGGTGTAGGATCGCATTCGTCGACTTTTGGCTTCTGTGCAAGCTCCAGATCGAATTTGTGTATGCCAAACTCGTCCGAAATGGTCGCATATATGGGCACCGTATTGCAGATCAGGCTACCCTCCTGCTTGATGAGCAGCATCATCGGATCCACCTCAAATCGACGCGCTATATCCTGCTTAACCTCGGCCATGGTCATGCAGTTGGGATAGACCTGGGCAATCAACTTGTCCGGCGCTATGCAGAACTTAACGGTCACATTTTGGGGCTCCATGCTGATGGCCGATTGAACCGATTCAGTGCTGCGTGGCTGATAGTCTGGGCCACAAACCGAGCGCACTATGGGACGCTGACTAGGCGGTACATTGAGCTGCATATTGCAGACGGTTGTCGGCAAGAACTCCTTCTCGCTCATCTTGACGATCTTCCAACTGACTAAAGTATATTTATATATATATATTGATATGTTTCTTTTCTCGAACTGAGTTCATAAAACAGTCTGCCTGCTGGGTTTCTCTCTGTCTCTCCGTGTGTGTGAGTGTGTGTTGGGCCCTTCAATGAGACTGCTGTTGGGCGAGGTTGTTGGGGGTATGGGAATTGATTTGTTCAATAAATCAGTTGCTTGGCACCCTGTTGTGGCAACGTGCCACATTTTCCCGTTAGGCAGCGTTTTTGTTTCTTACCGTTTATTATTTAATTGAGCACTGACTTTTCTCACGCATTTTGTTGTCGTTGTTGTTGCTGTATTTAAATGAATTTGATTTACAAAATGAGTTATTTCATTGGCTTAGTCCGGAGTGAAAGCTCCGCAGAAGTTTTTCTGATCGGCCCTATTTGATTGTTGGCCAAATTCCGTATCATAACACATCTGAATATTCGGTTATTAGCAATAAAATGAATCTGCGAGTTGTTATCATTTCATTATTTATTGCACAACATTCGAACGATAGCTGGGTGAATGCCGACAGTAATTACTTTTACTAAATGCTTTTTAAGTTTTGTCTTGCTTAATTCTCTTCAGATTGTATATGTGTATATACCCAGGTATGTGTGTATGCGTGTGCTGGAAGGCATTCCGCAAGCGATCATGATTGGCTATGAAATAATGATGTCTATTAAGGGTCATTTGCAACTGGTCTATACGGGGTAGATAAAATGATGAGCATAATACAAATGTATTTGCAAATCTTTTAAATGGTTTGGCTTGCCAAAAATATTCGATATAAAAATAATTTCATATAGGTATATATATAGTTTATGTAAATATATCTTGAAAATGTGTAAAGGGACTTTCAACATTTATATTTAATGGAATCACTAGTTCTCTCTATATATGTATAACTATCTATCTACATACTTATATATCTATCTATCCTTTGTTAGATAAAGCTTCTATATTTTATAAATTTACTTTCTAAATCAAATTTCTATCTTTTATCTATTATCTGCTGTGTATTCCGCATGTATATAAATTTAATGCGAAACCTTCTTCTATTCTTCTCCTTATCAATCTTCTATCCAATCTAACTTCTATATTCCATCTATTCGTCTATCCAGCCAAATAAGAGACCTTTCAAGACCTCCGAGCGAATGACCGAAACAGCTCATTGAAATCTGATATTTTAAAACAAAAGTCGCGCGTCCATTGAATTAATAAATAATGTTTTTATTGTAGTAGAACTTGGACTTAAGATTAAGGGGCGTCAGGGCGGATTTGTGATCGGCATGCGCCACTTGCAGTCGGAAGGGACGTCCATTGAAATAGTAGTCCTTGCGATGCTGGACGCGCAGCAGCTTGCTCTGCGTGACGGGCGTAGTCTCTGGAGCTGCTGTTGTTGTTGTTGGCCTGGGCGACGTTGTCGTAGTCGTCGTGGTCGTGCTCACTGGGCTGGGCACCTCCTCCAGAATGGGCTTGATTTTCATGGGCTGATAGTCGTAGCCAACGCCGGGTATATAGCGATACGGCAGTGGGGGTATGGCTATGAAATAGATTTTCGAGTCCTTCTTGGTCTTCTTCGTTTTGCTGCCGTTCTTGTTGTATTTGCGCAGGTTGAGTGGACGCGATGTTACCAAATAGTCCATATAGACATTGTCCAGCTTGGGTGATTGCACCAACAGTTTGTTGACCGGACGTGGGGGCGTGCCGCTGACTGGGCCGACAGCGTCTGTGCCGCGCATGCTGTAGGAGTAGGTGCCCGCTAGGCTGGGCGTAACCAGGGCGAGCAGCGCCAGTAGGGAAGACAAAGATGGCATGCTGTTAAAAGAGATGAAAAAGAGAAAGAGGGAAGTGGAGACCATTAAGCACCTAAATAAATACATATATATGTATGTATGTATGTATGTCAAGGCAATTGTACAAATGTGTCCACAAGTTGGGGATCAGGCGCCCACGCCCTGCACTCGAATCGCAATTGTTTCGGGCCATGATTGATGGACTGCTAATGGCTACCAAAATATGAATAATAGAGTTAAGTCGAGCAATGGCAAGCATTTGATTGTTTTTTTTTTTCTGTGCGTGTGTGTGTGTTGTGTATTTTGCTTTTCAATTTTGCAAGTCACAAATGCCGAATAATTCGAATAATAAATAAATCGGCTGTGCGCATCAAAGCATGAAATATTTTGTTGCTGAAATCTGATTGTAAAGTTTCTCACGTTCCAGACGCAAAGCGAAGAAACAAAACAGATTTCGAGACTCTCGATTTGATTTACTTAAATGAAAGCATTTAATGCACGCTAATCAAAACGCGGACCAAGACGTTGGACGCCGGCGTCGTCGTCGCCGTCGCTGTCGCTGTCGACGCCCGCTGAGCAATTACGCTAATGAGCATGGCGAGCGCCATCTGGCGGCGCATTTCAACGCCTGAGTGATTAATGAGTAAGTAAAAATAAATTGATCAATAAATAAAGCGAAAAAAAAGAAACAGATAAAAAAAAAACTATCCAAATAAAATCGGCGGCAATTGGCGCAGACTAAACGGCATCAATTAAGCATCGAGACAGGCGCGATAATGCTAACAAGTTTGGGGCAGAAAGGTTGCGCCCCCAAACTGCCTGATTATGCAAATTAAAGCAGCTGTATCATAAATAAGCTGGTCTTAGCATTATCTATCATTTATCTATTTGCTATTGATTTTATATCTAGTTTCCAGCGAAATTCGCCGTCGGCGATTCTAACGAACATTGCCATGGCATGTGGCGCCCTCTATTGACCTTGCCGACGAACTTCGGAAATTGATAAATCGCAGAAAGTTCGCCAATAATTAGCTGGTCAACCGAACTGCTGCAGTGCGAGACGCCCGCATGAAATATGATCAGAAAAAAAAGAAAAAAAAAATGGCAAAACGCCTTTTAAACTTTCTTCAGACTTTTGGCAGGTGGTGGGAGTGTTCCAGCGTTTAGTCAACGTAATTTGATATCAAAAGTTCAGCTAGCTAGCTGAATGATCATTCATCAGAGATAGTTACGCAGATAACAGAGCTGATCAATATGAAATTGGAAATCTTCACAGTCAACTAAAGTTGCAAAAAAAAAAAATTGTAATTTTCCAGAAGATTAATCAACATGTGTTTGGCTCTGTCACTTTGCTGCTGGCTAATGATGTATCCACTGAACATTCTAAATTCTTCTCCATTGGAGTAATAGTCGTAGTTTTTATTATCATACTTTAACCAGTCAAGGTCGTCTTTGTTTTATGCCTATATCATTTGTTGAACCCGACTAATTAAGTCACAATCCGCGAATACGGAGGGAAAACGAAAGACTTAGGCAACGAACTGGCCAGCGATGTCATGTTTGTGAATAAAATGCTTAATTAATAAATTTCTCAGCAGCTGTCAACTGCACAAACAACTGTGTTTTGCTTATGCAAATCGAAAATGATCAATTCACGGGCATTTATTCAAATTGCACTCACTTTAAAAGGCGCGTCGTTGATTCCAGCGGCAGCAGAAGCTGTTTATAATATTTACTGAATTTATTTGCCAACGTGATGAGCCGTTAATGACTATCGAGTGTCCTTGTCCTTGTTGGGAAATTTGAAATATGTGCATAAATTATATAGCAAGATGACGCTTCAATATTTTAATTTGAAAACTTTTATTGACTTTTGCTTCTGGAAGCTGTAAATTGTTTGACAAGTATTTTATGATCACGACTCGATGCACGCTTTATACAATTGCTGCTCCTCCTGGCACAATGTTTCCGATTCCCGATTCAAAATCGTCAAGTCTACAAGTTGCTTGGCGCGCAGCGTTTGCTTTTCACGTTGTGAACGCCTCGAAGAGCGGCAAATAAATGAGATCTGCGGACTGTGTGTAATTTGTTTTTTTTTTCTTTCTTTCATTCTTCTTAAAACCGAAATCACTTTGCTGCCGCAGTCAGCGTCGTCGGCTGCTGTTTTCGTCGCCGTCGTCGTCGTCGTCATCGTGGAGGTGCGACGTCATCGACTTGGAGCTGCTTGAGTGTGAGCGTGCCGGCTGGGCTCAACTCGTATCGATGTGTGTGAGGTCCGACACGATCTCGATGATGAGCCAGCCGAACGAAGTGCATCAATTTGCCAGTTTATTGTTTGCCCGCTTACTGTTACAGTTTGCCATTGCACTTTGCGGGTTTTGCCTTACCTCGTTTGCGTTGCTTCGTCTAGCTTTTGCCTTGCTTGGCTGACAAATTCAAGAGGCCGCCTGCCTAGGCGAATTGATCCATTTCAATTGCCAAGAGCGGGGACGCCGCCAGTTGGAAAGTGTCAGAGCAAGGAAACTCTATATCATCAGCCGGCCACTCATGTACTTAGTTTTTGATTAAATTACCAACCTGGCAACTGTCAGCTGTCAGCTGCAGCCGAGGCTCTAGTACCTCTAGTGTGGCTAGCTATCTATGGCTATCTGGGCTACAGTCTGCGAGGCTTTTGTCTTTCCGATTTGTGCACAAATTAGTTACAAATGAACCTACGACAACAAAGGCTGCTGGGTAACACGAAGCTATTGTGCAAATCAGGTTGTTATTGACAGGCCACCGCATGCCACATACCTGAAGCTGAGGTTGGAGCTGCTGCTGGAGCTGGAGCTGCAACTGAAGCTGAACCTGTGCGTGTGCCGCTTAAAGGGTTTTTTTGTTGTTGCTACTTTTCATTCAACTATTGGCGCCACAGGCGCTACTCGAGCTCATTTTAAATGTCATTGCGTGATGTGTTGACGTTTCTCTCTCTCTCTCTCTCTGTATCTCTCTATCTCTCTTTCTTGTCTGTTTCTTGTGTGCTTTTGGCCAGGTTAGTGGCCCGCTTGGTTGACCTTTTTGACCATTGTGGAAGTTGACTTCCAAACTCTGACCCAGTCTCCGGTGGGAAGTCGTCTATGATTAGCAAAATTGATAGCCAACTTCCATTTCTTTTGGTCTAAGTCGCTAGCTGGCTAAAAGCTGCTAGCTGCTAGCTGCTACCTAGTTTTATGGCCACTAATTAAAATGATAAAAACAACATTCAAAAGTGCTTTTGTCGGGCGTTATGTAAACTTCGTTTGCCCCATGTACATACATTAATAGCACCCAGCACTTTCTCATCTTTCACCAACTGAAGCGAACACTAATTGGCCAACGTTTCTAGCCACAGAAATTACATGTGTTTGGATGTGGTATCTGAGCGCCTATCTAATTAAAGCGCAACCTTTTCTTTTATTTTAATTTCCATTTTAGTGCTGTCTGTGCTCAGCGCAAACAAATGACATAACCGCAAATATATCATTTGCCATTTGTTTACCTATGCCAGAGCAAGCTCCCGGTCACAGTGGACTGGCAATCAAAACACCTTTAAATATTAATTAGCCGTGCCATGGCAGCACCAGCAGCACCAACAGCACCGTCATCATCGACAGCATCGACAGCATCTGGCTTCCCCTTTTCAGCAATTACGCGTAGCCAATGTACACATGCAAAAGTGTGTGTTGAAGTGCGTAAACTCTCGCATAGCAGCAGCAGCAGCAGCAGCTCCCTCAGTAGCTCCAGCAACTCGAACGAATTTATATATGTATATATGTATGTACCCGCTCGATGGCTGCAGAGTCTAATCTAGCCAACTGCACGCAGCTTAGTACAAGTACAAGAACAACAAGTTCTATCTGGCGCTGGCATAATTGTTAACGATTAGACAACACAAATCACGAACGAGAGCCAGAGACAGCCAGACAGTGTAGCTCTGATATATCATATATCTGCATCAGTTCCATCTAGCGATTCGTGTGAGCTAAGCTGGGAATTGTTAAAACTCATATGTTTAATGCTGACGGAAGCAATATAGATAGATAGTCCGAAGCACGAGACAATGACAATGACGTTGGCAAAGGCGATGGCGATGGCGATGGCAGATACCAAGACTTTGCTCTAGACGAACTAATCAAGAAGCTCGGACGGACAGCCAGACAGATGGGGCTGACTTAGGCGATCGCGTGTTTAAAGTAGTGCATTAAAAAATGGTCTTCAAACAACTGTTTCACTCTGACAGTCTAGAACATTGGCCATTTATGTGGCTAACGTTTTCATTAGCATTAGTCAGAGTACAAGTTGATGGCTGGAACACCCACCCATGGCTGAGGTTAAGGCCATCTCGACGTCACTCTTGAATTGTGTGCTATAAATATGTATGGAGGAATGTGTACATGTGTGTGTGTGTGTGTGTTTGTACCTAATTATATGTAGTTTCACATTTTATTGTCGATAAATTGGCAAGTTCATTAAACCCATTCGCTGGCGCACGATCAAGCTGATTCAGCCGCCTAACTGGCCTTTGTCTCTTGGCTTGATTTTGATTTTGAGGCGCTTGGCATGCGGCCACAGCCATTTAATTGCCACCCGGCTTTCGCGCTGTGCACTCGGAATGAAGTTGTCATCGCGGTTGGCGTCTTATGCAATGCTAAAAATCTCGTCCCATCTGTTTTTGTGTGCATTTTTCTGAGTAATTTCTTGCACAAGATTGGGGTCAGCACTGGATGGCGATTGCTTTGACTCTGACTTTCGTTGAAAGTTAAATATTTGTAGAGCAGACGAAAGGAAATGCAACGAAAGGAAAATAAGCGCCGTTTCATCTGCAGCCGTACAAACACAATGTTTGTATGGAAAGGTATGCAGAGATCTACGATAGCTAAATATAGAAATGAAACCAGTTGAAATAAAATATTTAAATAAAATCTGAATTTTAAGACCATAGATTATATTGTATGAAAAATGCATTAAAAATAATTACTATACATTAACAAAAATATAAAAATCAATACATATTTTACAGGGTATACAAAAGTCAATCATTCTATGCCTGACAGCTACCATATTTATTTATGTTATTATTATTATTACTACTTTGCTGCTGTTTTTTGCACTTTTTTTGTGAAAGTGCCAAGTGACCACAAGCAAAAAGGTTAAACTGGGCGCCGAAGCGTGCCCTGCACTGGGCTTGGATCGCAGTTAAAACTAGGCTGCTGCATATTGAGTTAAGTGGAAGCTGATTCAAGTCAAGCAGTCATTCGATCGTGTAATATTGATTTAATCGTAGTGCTGATCAATTCCTGTGGCATACAGACGGATCTATCTTTACGTGGTAGTCGCTTTCACACCACCCACATCGGATAGCCTTATTTACGATTTGAGCGCTATATCTCTATTGCTTGCTTTATATCCGCACTATAAACACAAAACTTTCCAATTTCCTGACAATTGGAGCAAACGATTGATAGTTAAGTTTTATGGCCTTTGCTGATTTATAATTGCAGGAGATTTCCACACGTCGCCAGGTGGAGTGGAGGAGTAGGCAGAAAATGTAGCCACAAAACTTCTACGGTTTTTCGCAATTAACGAACAAGAAATATGTTTTATCGGTTGAAAGTCAGTTTGGCGAAAATAAACAATGGCAAACATTTTATACATTTTTTACTATATTTATATACTACTCTTGCCATAGTGGCAATTGTATTAAATGGAATAATTAGTCGCCGCAAATGAATGAAAAAGAAATCATTCCAAATGAATTTAATTGCTTCAGCGCTTTTTACAACTTCAAACCGCAACACCGAAGATTATTATTTCAATTGTCTTTTAATGTTGTTATTGTATATTAGTTATTGCTATTCTTCTTCTTCTTCTTCTTCTTGTCGGCTTAAGTACATGCGTCGACGTCCACAAACTTCTTCCCAATTATTGTGGATTCCCGCTTGTGCTCGCCGAGACGGCGACCTTGAACCAAACGACAATATCTTGGGTCAAAGTCAATAAACTTAGGAGATTCTAGCGAATACACTTACTAAGCAGCTTCCCCACATTCACATCCATATCCACATCTTGTTGACACTTAACTTGTTATCAATGTATCTTTTCCCATTTCGTTTATATAACTACCCAGACTGGCCATTAAACGTACCCTGTGGCGCAGAAGAGTGGCCATAAAAACTTAAGATTCAATTGAAATAAGATAAACATCTCGCCTTGTAAAGCGATTTAAAACTATGTAGCAGCTATTGGCTTATGTATTGAAAGTTAATTTAGCTGCTTTTTGCCTTCCATAAAATAATCAAAGTAGGTGTCAATACATATTGTTGGTAGTTCATTCTAAAAATAGCTTTGAAAAATAGCAAAAAAGTCTTTCGACGAGGATGGGATTCGAACCCACGCGTGCAGAGCACATTGGATTAGCAGTCCAACGCCTTAACCACTCGGCCACCTCGTCACGTGTCAAGGGTAATTCTAAGATTCTACTAGTTATAATTGCCGAGAACGAAATTATTTATCTCTGAAGCAGTGCAATTGGGTGTCAAGCAGTGCAATATAATCAGTAGCATGCAAGCAGTAAACAATTGATACTGTGTCAGTAAATTCTACTGCTCAAAATAAGGGTGCTTTTATTTAAAAATCACAAAATTTGATTTTAGTATTAAAATAGGAACTAAGAAGCAAAAACGCATGTAAATATTTAATATTAATGTAAATACATAAACCCTGCACTGCTTGCTATTTATTCAAGCTGTTCATCAAGTAATGAACTGGTCGCGAAGGTCGCATATGACGAGGTGGCCGAGAGGTTAAGGCGTTGGACTGCTAATCCAATGTGCTCTGCACGCGTGGGTTCGAATCCCATCCTCGTCGGTTTGTATTTTTTTGATATGACGTCAAAACATTTAAATAAATAATTCATTACAATACGTGTTATTAATGAATTAGAAAAGTTCATTAAAAATGCATTGCAATACAATTATAATTAATTGCAATTTGCAAATTAAAAGAATTGGACAAAAAACCAAGTGCGACGAGGATGGGATTCGAACCCACGCGT